AAAAGCACTGAAATATGTTCCAATGGTGCATCCACTCAGATCTGGATCTTCTGCCACATGTTTCACTTTCGTCCAAATCCTATCATCAGAGAGCAACTGCCACACTGATTTCAAAGCACTCTGAACTTCCACAAGTTTGGAAGTCACAGCTGAATCAGAAAATCTGTCTTGTTCTCATCTCTAACAAGAAACATTTTAAATGCTGGGTTTAGATGTTTGCAAAACAAAGAGGGAACAGAATTAACTTGATGAATGTGACTTCACACAGCTGTATCTGGGGGGAAAGGCATGACTTTAGAAGCATGTTAATGAGGTTTATCTACATTCTTTTAACTGATAATTGCCATATTTTTGCTACTTAACAATAATATTCTTGGCCTGAAGTTCCTGCTGTTGTTGTTTTACCTAGCAATATTAAAATTGAAGCATTAAGTTAGCAAAACTTTTCTTTGCCTGAGAATTTTTTATTTATTTTATTAAGAACTACTGAGGGACTGAAATTAGACTTGAGCCTTAAAGCCAAGGACATAAAAGTTTAGGTGCTGGTTATAAGTCTAGGTCTGAAGTTTAATGCAGATTCTTTGTTATATTGAATGAGGTGTCCCAGGCTCTTATTTATGAGCCTTTCAAGGTTTGATTAGATGCCAGTGTAATTAAAACCTTCTTTGGCACACGATCACGTGCCTTCACGATCACAGGCCGCTCTGTGTGTGTGCCATGGGCATGTTACACAGCACCACCACCACCTCCCACCATGGACTCACAAATGCAGTACCACGTTGTCCAATAGTTTTAGGGACTTCTGCAAGCAAAGGACTGTTCTATATTCTATGATGATTGGCACTACTGCAAAGCCCTGACCAGCTCTTCACAAGGTATTTGAGGCTCCAATGGTAGAAAGTCATTCTCCTCTTCTCTAAAGCGTCGTTTATGACTTGGGAAAGCAATTTGCAGCTTCTGTAGAACCAGGTCTCAGAGCCACTAACGATTATGCCGTTGAAGAGAACTTGGAAAATATGTGCTTTAAAAGCCATATACAGCAGCACAGACAGATAATATCAAAGGGAATATCCTCTCTGATAAGACCATCTATAGCATATTTCAGCTACAGAGATCTTCATCTACTGCAGATGTAAAACCAAGTATGAAGGTCAGGCCAGGGACTTTTTTTGTTGTTTTGAGGCTTTTACATTTAAACTTCCATCCAAAATTGATGACACTTCTCCCCTTAAAAGAATGAAAAAGATGCTGGTGAAGAGCAGGATGAGTGTCCTAATTGCTGGGCTACAGCCTGCCCTGGGTACCCAGCACCTCCTACTGAAGAACTCAGCTGTCCTAAGTGCATGTCCTAGCTCCTAGGCCACAGGATACATCCCTTATTCTCTCAGTTATTGATGAACTAATTGTTCCAAGTGGAACAATTTAAGAGGAGAGTTTGTTTCATTTCAGGATTATCCTATGAACCACTTTAGAGACCTTGATTTAACTCACATCCTAACTCCAAACAAAGTGGAGGACAGAACTAACTTGAGTTTTTTCCTTGCCCATTGGTTCATTTTGGCAGAAGACTTTGTTGGACAAATTTTTTCAGTATGTTCTGAAACCACTTACAGGTTTGGGTCCCGCTGAGATGAAGGCAACACCTGCTATGCAACTCCTTGAGGGCTTGGTAGCCAAGTAGCTCAGCATTGCCAGGATGTGAGTGGTTACGGAAGAATCAAGGTAGCTGGCAGCTGAATTAAGACACTGAAGGTTTAAATTTTGCTCTTTAAAAAAGCATGGATCGTGATTCAGAAAGCAGAAAAGAACACAAATATCCTCAGACATCTTTCCAGTACTTTAAGGTTGAGACCACCCTTTCTCTTCCTGTACTTCCCTCTCAAACCTTCACTGACTAGTGTCATAAATTAAATTCAACAGTTCCTTCTAATTTACTCTTACTTTTATTAGCAAGAAGCCAAGTTCCTCTGGCTCATACTGCCTACCAACAGATGCCCACTACTGTATGTTGAGGGAAGTCTTTGTGTCCATAGTCAGTAAAAAGGGGGAAGTTGGACAATTTATTTTCTATTTTCTCTAGTAATTCTGTAAATACAGGAGGAATTGTAGAATTTAATATTCTTATTATGCAGTATGAAGGATTGCAATTAGTCCCAATATCCCTCTGGCTTCATCTTCTGCATTCATGATTTATTTTTTTTACAATGAAACTCCTCAAATTTATTTGTATGGATTTTAGGCATCCAGTTATGGTCAGATACAACCTTCAAAACAGTTACTACTTGCTGAATATTGCTAATACTTTTATTTGCAGCCAGGCTGGATTTAAGAGAATACAAGAGCCTGTTGGCTTTAGTATAAATTATAAAAGCCACAGTAGCTCTAATGTTGAGAAACTTTTCCCTTTCTCAAAGACTGGCTACTTTAGAAACTAAATTGCATATAGCTTGGTTTAATGCCAATAACACCATCACTAGAAGTGACAGCTTGCAGGGAAGGATGCAGAGAGGGAAGAGGACAGGAAGATAATTTGTCAACTTAATCAATGGAAAGAATAAAAATATTAAAAGTAAAATCAGCCTCTTATTCTAGATAGTAACTTTAAGTTAGCTTAATAAACCCGTCCTCAGGTGAATGTAATCACCTGAGAATAAGACAGCTCAGCTGAAGTGTGTGAGTGGGAAATGTGCTTCCTCACTAGGAAAATGCATCTCCAAAAGAGCTATTTGGGAAAGCCTCTCTCTGAGAATAAGATGATGACTTCCATCAACAAACTGCCTGAGCTCGTGATGCAGGGGACTACTGCAGGTCAGGTACCACCACGGCTGTTAACTTTCACGTTAAATTAGAAATAGAAGTGCAACTCCATAAATCATAAAGAAAATGGCTTAGTCCAGAAGAAAGGGTCTCCCTCCTTCAAACAAGACTGGAGAGTGAGGTCCTACACTTCTGGGAACAGGTGGATACGTGGCTCGAAGGTATCCTTTTAACACCTGTGACAGACTCCAAACAAAGATGGCCTGCGTTGCTTATGTTATTGCCTGATTCCTTCCAGATGTCAGTAAACAGATTTTCAGCCTTGTTGAATCACTCATGAATCTCAGCTTATCTCTCTGTGCTATGCAAGAAGAGTAAACATGAGGACTCTACACACAGAGTTCACAGCCTCCTACTGATTCTGGGTAAGGCCTGTGTCTTCATACATTACAAGGTAACAGTGTAGTTGAAACCAATTGAACTCTTGTCCATCACGTCACCAAATCAAAGGACTACTGTAAGTTTGGTAAACTGCACAGGGGATTCCAGTGACACATCTGATTCAGCTTTACAACTGATTTTAAAAGACTACCACATAAAGCCAATATAGCACACAGAAATCAGTAAGAGCAGTAATTAGAAATAAACCAAAACAGTTGTCTTCTTAACTTAAAATCACTATTTATGAAATAGCAATAAACAGTTAGTAGGTTACCAACGGCCAGCTACGAATCTCAAAAGAGAATATGCTTCTTATTTTTAGCAGCATCTCCATGCAGAGATCTATTCCTGCCTCAGCGCTGTTCCACTGTCACAATGAATATAGAAGCCTTTCAACTGCTAATTGTGGCTCACTATATACAGTTTATTTATAAACTCATTTTCATGCAAGTATAAAATACTAATTCCATGGACAAATACACATTTGTTCACCACTCTAAATTATATACATTGCATTTGCATCTAATATTCAGAGAAGTGCAAAGTCCACAGTGACAAAAATAACAATAGTTTTGTAAACTAGTAGATGAACTCTCAAATGACATTAGTAACTGCATGACACTGTCTTTTTTTTTATACTGCTGAAATCAAACAGTTTTGCAGTAAAAGAACATACATTTCAGCTACATTCAAGTGATTATTTTATTACCATATATTATGTCTTACAAACTTTACTGGAGATGAGCAAGAGCGCTACAAACCCCATACCTTAACGCCAGAGGTGTACTGCGTGGTATGTGCAGGCAGAGCGAAGGAGAGGGAGGAACCGGGGAGAAAAACAAGCTAAGAAAACTTGTACAAAAACGGATAGTAATACTGACGAACACTGGGTTATCATCTTACTTATAACAGACCTGAAGGGCTAATAAGAGATTGAATTTAGAAACATCTGTGCACTGTAGGTACAGCCTGGTGCAGATCGAGAGTGCGCTAATACAGTCAACGTTGTACGCGTAAGATAATGCACAAAATACGCTGATATGCATATAAACAACTAATTTGTTTACAGTAAGTAGGGCAGCACAGCTGTAGTGCTGCATCCTTGGCACTTAGTGATAGGACAACACGTATTTGGTTTAAACTAAACTCATAAACACGATATATACTGGTCTGTAAGATGTAAAACATACATTATCCCTTTGAACCTTCCGGTTTTATAGCATTTCTCTAATTTTCAAGTTGAGATGCAAACATGATACACTAGCTAGATATGGAAGACATTTCAGATATTGGGTTAAAACAAGACCTTCAATAAAAAAAATAAGAGAATTGCAACTTAATTCACATGATATTATTTAAGTCTGTTACTGCTGTCTTACACTGAAAACTAAATCTGAAATGTTAAAAAAAAAAGCGACCTTTATGGGCTTTTCCTGAATAGTAACTGTTTCCTTAATGTCCCTTTTGTATATGGTAATTTCACTTTAAAGAACTGCTGAAGTTACTCATCTGGAAAGTTGTAACTGAATTAGAAGTTTGGCCTCGAATATCACATCACACAGAATGGAAGAAAATACGCTCTTCTTCAAAGAAACCAGGTTTCAGCTGTGAAAGGATTCCAATTTTAAGTGATTGTCTTTGTATTAAACAATATTAACAACCATCTGGAGGGACCCAATTTACTTTTGCCTTTTTTAAACAAATTGGCTAAAATGCCATTTTATATTATATATAACAAATGTAATAAAATCGTTCTTAACATATAATGATGTAACACTTTAAAATTAACTGGTTTAAAATATTTTACAAAGACATTTTATTATATATGAACTATACAACACACAAGAGTATGAAATATTTTGAACATATACACATTTCGGTATTTTCCACGTAGATTATTATTTTGCACCAAACATTGGTGTCTGCAATTCTAACAATCCTCTCAGATAAAACCAAAGCAAAATCCCAGGATGGATGTGTTTTGTTTTGTTTTTTTCTTTTCCTGAAAATAAAACCTATTGCAAGGAGAATTTCTCTAATGACTTTTTTCTTTTCTCAATTTCGTATTTTGCACAAAGCTTTTCAAATGCATCAACATACATAAAAAGAATAACCTCTCTGTACTTTCCAGTGCAATTTGCTAGGGATAAAGTTTAAACCAAAGCTGACCCTTTCCCCACTACAAACATCAGAAACTGCAGTCAAAGGAAACGTCAACACCAATCGCTATTGAGACTCCTTTCCCCCTTATTTAAAATGCAATCCTTTTCCATATCCATTTTAATGAAAGTATTTGCATAGAGCAGCCTTGTATTATTTCTAAAGAACATTATGAGCATTTTAACACAAGATAAGGCACATGTTTTTCAGCATTAATAATCTAAAACTAATCCTGAGGATCTGCTCCTCCCCCTCAGCAAAGTCTGCTTTTTTTAATATACCCTGTATTACCTGAAGAAAGCAGAAAAGCGGTATATAATAAGCAAAAACTGAACTAAATTTAGCTGAACTAAATTCAGAACATTAATAACTCCTGATAATAGTGTAACAAACCCACAGATGAAGAATTAAGTCATTCTCTAAACAAATTTTCTTAAGGGGGTGGGGGGGAAGATACAGCCAGTAGCACTGTAGATGTTAGACAAAATTCACATAATATGGATGACATTTATAGTGAGTTTTGCTAAAATAAGCTCCCATCAGAAACAAGGTAGCTAAACCGTCAGGCACTTAAGGTTGACAAGAAAAGGAGGAATGCAAGGGGTCTGTTTCATAGAAAACCTGAAGTTGCATATCATATCCTTGTATTAAGCCTTCTATTAAAGTGCTAGAAATGGAGACTTAAAACAAAAGGATTTAAATACAAAATAAGTGATTAAAGAGCTTAGTATGCGTTAAAATTAAGTGCTTTTGATTCTCATGAATTTAGAGCTTTTTAACAGTTTTTTCAAAATGAAGTCTGGAAATAATCCTCGTGCGAAATCATCTTCCTTGTGCCATTGATGCTATTTGTAAAGTGCCCAATTATTTTTTCTAAACAACAAAACCATTTGCCTTATCTTATGTTGTATAGCATGACAGAGTCTGTAGTACATATGTAATCCATGCTGCAACGACGCAGTCGAGCTGATGGAAAACAGCACGTGCATACTTTTTTAGTCAGAAGTTTGAATTCCACCCGTCACTTTCAAAAGCCAGGTCTTGGATTACATACCCACCAGTACATAGTGCAATCAACCTCGCTCTCAACATGTAATTTAGCTGTTAAAAGTCTCTGACGCTCAAAGATAAAACTTGCCAAGGTTTTTCCTCAGAGCAGCCCGACACCCAGACAAAATCACAGATGGAGCTCTAGATCCGAATCACATAAATCCACTAGATGCCAAATCTGAGAAGGATCTGGGCTCTGTGGGATGATGAAGAGGCTGAAGATGTGTGGCAGTCTGTGCATTACTGATCACATCTAACTGAGAGGGATATGCTTCATTTACATTTCCTCCATTGAAACCGTTTTGGAACTGGAAGGAAAAAAAGACAATATAAATGGTTAGTATGGGAAAGTGATTTATTTGTAAGTTTTTAAAAATCCTCCTAAAGACACAGATTGGATGAAATCATCTTAAAATATCATGAATAGCTTTAAAACCTTTTTTTTTTTTTTTAATGATGAATGATGAGAAGTTAATTTGCACTAAACACAGCATCTGAATCATCACTGAAACTTACCCATATTGAAGTGAATAGGAACCCTACTTGTTGCTAAGTAAAAAAAAACAAACATCGCCACTATTTAAAGCATAATATAGTTTCCCTTTGCAGAAAGTACAGTCTGACTGCACATTCCTAATTTCCACATCCAGCTGTTACATTTTAAAAGCAACCTATTTATGTATTTTCATGTCTGCAATGGGATCCAGGCTTTACAGCTCTTCCAGGAATGCACAAGCAGGTCCTATTCTTAAGCCGAAGCACGTTCAGTCCACGGGCTGAGCTGTCGCAGGGTGGGCTTTTTTGACAAACAGCCTTCATATTGACAACGCCAAGTAAGAGCAACGAATGGCTTTCATCAGTCCTGACATAATTGTTCATGGGATTATTTTAATCGTCTGATGTAATGCTTCCTGTCATGCTATGGAAAAGTCACTTTATCTACAAAACGCTCCACTCAGTCATGCAAAGAAAATACAACAAAATATTTTAAACATTTCCATCATCTCTTTGGGAGTAGCTTATATCGTTAAGTACTCGTTCATTCAAGCTTTGTCCTTAAAAACATATATTATACTTTCATTCATTCATCTATCAAAATACACTGGGGTTTGGATATTTTTTTTTCCTTCTATGCAAACATTGAAATGAGAAGAACTGTGCACAGTTAAAGTTTTTAACAAGACTATAGCCACATGAACGATGTTTTTAGTCAAAGCTGACATACTTTTAAAGACAGCTACAATAACATAAGCTAGGATTACTTCTGACAGAAGCAGATTATTTCAATATTCTTCATTAACAAGATGAGCCCGCTCATTAAAATTTCTAAGAAAGTTCTCAACACAGAATCTAGTAATTAGCAAGGTTTCTCCTGTTTAATAAAGAATACCAAGCTTAATCAAGAAATCAAATTATCTGAGACCTTTTTCCCCTTCTCCACCACTGCAAGTGTTCTTAGACTACATTGGCAATGATCCTGCCGCAATTACAAGTTCAGCAGAAGGTCAAGGCAGATGACCACAACAGACCCTTCTGGCTTTCTAACCCTCAAGTCTTTCTCACACAGAAATTGCTGTGAGTTCCAGGGTTGAGGAAAGGATAGCAATCATGGCTTGAGTAGCAAAATCTGCCCTCTCTGCAGACTCCAACTGCTGCTAGGGATGTGCCAAATCCAGCTGCAGAGACTGCCCTGCTTTGGTTTGGCTGTGCAGACCCAGGCTCAGACAGCAGGATCCTACCTGCTTAGTCACATCCTTACTGCAGTTACCAATTAGCAATAACAATCAAACCTTAAGTTTATTACCGCAAGCAGTCATACATTCTCCCTATTTACAATAAATAAATGTATATTATTTGCTATCATGGCTTTGGCACAAGTGGTATTTTACAAGGTTATACAGCAGCAGCTATACTTCTGATTTACTAGTTCAATATTTCCAAGTTCTTAACTCTGATACAAGACTAAATACAATCTATGTAATATATAAACATAAGGTTATTTTTCTCTGGAGCAATGAAATTCCTAGGTTAAAAAATGTTTCTACACTAAAACATTTCTCAACATCACAGCTTTGGTTTACATAGAGCCTTCCTTTGTCATCAATCTATGAAAATCTTAATTAGCAGATGTGCCTAGAGGTCAAAACTGGGTACAGTCTGATACAAGAGATGCTGGATTTTTTCACATGTACAGTATATATAGCAGTATGGGCTGCAAAAGTCAATGGTACATTATTTAGGAACATGCAGTCCCTTGCCAGCCCCCACTGCACCCAGTTGGCACACATAAATTTTGGACCCACCAGGACCTGGGGAGAGCTATCAGCTACCTACGATCACTCTTTTACAAAAGGGGTTGGGGGAATAATCCTTCCTTATCTCATCAAGAAGGGAGCTCCTCTTTTAAGCTCATTTGGACAAATGTTCAGCAGTTCAGAGGTAAACAGGAGCCGACATGCACAAGGGTAACCACCACCAGTTCTGCACTAGGCTTCTGCTTATGCAATGCAGCGTAGCTATAACACAGCACAAATTTGCCTCTGAACAGTTTCAGCAAAAATAAATTTTCCAGAAAGTGGTCTTTGTTCATTTTTTTTAATGATAAACAAGCTAAACACAATATTATTATTGTGCCACAGCATTCTAGTAAATATGAAGAAAGACATATTGGTTTATTGCATTCAGAGATGCTCTTAGTCATTAGTCACTAAATTTCCTACAAATCAATGAGAAGAAAAAGTAAGCAAGAAAATAACAATTTGTAACAAAAACAATTAAGGCAGCACAGCAACAAAATAATCTACAAAATAAACGTATTTGAAAGCAGCCATTAAAAAGAAAGAAATGGAATTGCTTATGCGGTGGCAGTTGAAAACTGATGCACCAGACAGTATAGCTTTTGTGAAAAGAACTGTTCTATACTATTACAGGGATGAACTTGGACGACCCTGGAACCCTATTATCAAGCACCATGGAGGACTAATAGCACTGACCACAGCCAGGCAACATACAGCCAAGCTCTGTGCAAGTTTGTGCACTGCAGTTTGCCAAAGTCTCTTTATGCTATTTCAGCCCCTGGGCACTCAGGCAGAAGCTATTCATCTTGCTCAACTGTCCTATATTTTAGCTAAATTTCTGCAATTCTGCAATTATAGGGTTTTTTTCCACTTAGTGAAGCAGTTTTTCAAAGGGTATGTTTTGTACTTGTATTAAGCATACCGAAAAACTGGGGATATTCTACTCACATTCTTCACCTCTGCCTTGTGTAGGTGAAACACCAGTTAATACTTTAATTCTGTAAATGCTTATGCATGTGCGTAAGGATTTATGATGTGCATAAGGATCAGTACTCACCAAGGTTAAAAAAAAAAAAAAAAAATGAATTGTGGCTCTGTACTTGAGCAGCACTAATAGAAATAAATGCTACAATTGAAAGTACCCCAACACAGGTTATTCAGAATCAGGAACCACCTTAGTAAACTATTTTTTTTTATTTCTACGTTAATTTTATCTATAAAGATCTGTGCTTGAAACTGTAGTTTCTGTACAGTTCTCTGTAGTTTCTGCTACAGCCAGGCTCCTTTCTCCTACTGCTTTTACTGTGTATTCTCCTTATCCCAGTGTGAATAAGGTCCAACTTACCTATCGTGAATATAATTTTTTCCTGCTCTTTTGTCTTCAGCAGACAACTTAGACAGCAGCTTGAGGAACAAGCTGGCTTTCACTTATAGCAATATATAAAAATATTTCTGCAGTATGTAGAAATGCAATAGCTTATAATAACATAAATAGCATGAAATATTACGAGCTGATACTGTAAGCAACCCTAAAACCACTGAAGAATCTGAGTAGCTAGAGAACATTTTAAAAACAAGACATTTTTCTGGATCCTTACAACAAATTCAGTGAAAACAACTGTGCCAGACTGACACCATACTGCTTCTCTAAAAAAGACATATAAGCAAGTTCTAAGCTTTTGAACAACCTACTTTTACTTTGCTCCTACTGGGAAAAGACACATTCATAGAATCATAGAATTGCCCAGGCCGGAAGGGCCCTCCAAAGGTCATCTAGTTCGACCTCCCCGCAGTCAGCAGGGACACCCCCAACTAGACCAGGTTGCCCAGGGCCTCGTCGAGCCTCACCTTGAATATCTCCAGGGATGGGGCCTCAACCACCTCCCTGGGCAACCTGTTCCAGTGCTCCACCACCCTCACAGTGAAGAACCCCCTCCTAATCTCCAGTCTAAATCCGCGCCCCTCCAGCTTGAAGCCATTTCCCCCCGTCCTGTCACTGCAGGCCTTTCTAAACAGGTTCTCCCCAGCCTTCCTGTAGGGTCCTTTCAGGTACTGGAAGGCTGCTATTAGGTCTCCCCGGAGCCTCCTCTTCTCCAGGCTGAACAACCCCAGCTCCCTCAGCCTGTCCTCGTAGCAGAGGTGCTCCATCCCCCTGATCATCCTTGTGGCCCTCCTCTGGACCCGCTCCATCAGGTCCATGTCCTTCTTATATTGAAGGTGCTAACCCATCAGTTTCAAACTCATTGGTTCAGCGATGCCAAACTCCGCATCCCAGCAGCCACCCGAAACAATAAAACCCAGGATTCAAGATGCAAGCACTGCTGTCTACCTTACCTTGTTCAACAAAGTTTGTTGACTTGCCACCATGGGATCATACTGCATTGGATCCACGCAGCTGGGCTGTGCTTCTTGCGTGCACTGGTACATGGAGACAGCGCCCGCATAGCATGTCTGAGGGCTCAGCATAACCTGCTCGGAGTTCATCCCACCACACTCATGATTTTCAGGGACTTGATGCAAACAGCTGAGAAAATCCTCCAGGTTGGAAGAAGCAGAATAGTTCGATCTGTCAAAACCTGCGACGGGGAAATCCGCTGGGGCGAAATTCGAAAGCTGGGGCACGGGGGCTGCGGGCTGCTTGTAAGGAATAAACTCTTGCCTACAGGCGTAAGGGGAAGTGTTTGCTTCTGATTTGTAGGAGAACTCAGGCGCCGTGGTGTGCATGCCAGGGAACACAAACTGCTGGGGCTGCTGCTGCTGCTGTGAGCAGCTAAGAGGCACGCCGGTGCCAGAGCTCCAATTTGTGAACATCCCATTGACTTGCATGTGTTTCATCTTTTGACAGAGCTGCTGCTGCTGCTGTTGTTGTTGTTGCTGCTGTTGTTGCTGCTCCACAAGCTGTTTCTGGTGCTGATGAAGCTGATGTGGATCTAACTCTTGCTGTACCAAGCAACCTTCATTCTGGACCAGGGGCTGCTGCTGGTTACAGCCTGAGTATAATAAGTCAGACTTATTTAAGGAATCCTGAACATAAGTCAGGATTTCATCAGTTATGTCGATGTCCCCAATATCATCCACACCAGATAATTCAGTTTTAAAAAACTCCTCATCCTGCTGAATACACTTTAGATCCTCAAAGTCAATTCCCAGATTTTTCATGATGCTGTACAAGTCACCGGTTTTGTTCTCCAGGAAGAGCGCTGCACTGTCCTCAGGGAGGGGAAGAGTGCTGTCCTGGGAACACTCTATCAGCTCCTGTTTGAGAACGCTGTGATTTCCAGCAGGTAGGAGACTATCAGTCCAGCCACCACTCACACCACCGCCCAGCTCATCCCTGCTGTCTGCAAAGAGGTTCCGCTCAAAGGACAGTTTGTGCGGTGCCGGGGGGCAGAGGTACACAGACTCATCTTGCCTCAGCATCACACCTAGGAGGGAGTTTGGATCCACGGAATCGTTGTGCAGGGTTGTTTTGGGGCCTTTTCCCGTCGTGCTTTTATTCCTCTGCTGAGAGGGATCCAAAAGGCTCGACATAGGGAAAGACACCTCGTATAACACAGCCTCACCAGTGGCAAACATGAAGGGCAACTTCATGTTACGCTTCCGTAGATGTTCTGCCCCTTCCTCATCTCTGAAAATAAATTGTATATATATATATATATTATAGTTAAAAAAAAAAATATCACAGAATCTTCTAGGTTGGAAGGGACCTCAAAGATCATCTTGTCCAACCATCAACCTAACTGACAAAAATAGACACCCGCACAACAAACAAGAAGCATCACCATCACTAAACCATACCTCCCAGCACTACATCAACCCGTCTTTTGAACACCTCCAGGGATGGTGCCTCAACCACCTCCCTGGGCAGCCCATTCCAATGGCTGAGAACCCTTTCAGTGAAAAATTTTTTCCTAATGTCCAGCCTGAACCTCCCCTGGCGTAACTTGAGGCCATTTCCTCTCGTCCTGTTGCCTGTGACTTGGGAGAAGAGACCGACCCCCATCTCTCTACATATATATATATAGCATGATACTGCAGTACTAAACAGTTACTGTAATCTTTTTGTCCCCTGGAATTAATATCTAAAAAATGAACTATTCTATTTGTAGGCATTTTTCAAATTCCCAGCTATTCCAGCTCAACTTGGTTGAGCTAAACCGAGAGGCAGATTACGAAATAAGGAGCTTATGACTGTAATACCACCTTTACATATTACATTTGTAATTAAATCTAGATAGCATACACCAGTTTCTGTGCACTATGAGCTGAAATGAAAATAAGTGGGCTTTGTTCCATGCATTATGTTTTTCTTGGCATAGAAAGTAAATGAATACTTCAATACATCAGTATCTCTTTTTTTACAGAGATATCTCTACTCCATTTTACAGACTCCTCCACAAAAACCTGCATTATAATGCTGAATTCCATATTATGTAGAATTTAGTTCAGCACCTTAACGACTTAATTGCTTTATGTTACCTGTTGTTTCTTCTACACAACTGCAGTTGGATTTCTTAATTTTTACTAAAGGGGATGCTGAACTAAAAATAGGTTGGATAGAACAACTTGGTGCTAGTAGCACTGCTCTTATTCCTTATATGAAATTAAAACGTCTGAAGTTTTACACATACAGGACTATGCCACATCAGTACTGAAAGATCAGAATTCTTTCCAATGGTTGTTCATGAATCGAAAGACCTTTTATTTTTGGAGTTCAGAATTTAAAGGGGATATATTTAAAAATAAAGAATTCTTTTCTGAATATAAGCAAGCTCAAAAGTTTTTTGGTTTTTGATGCACACTGCTTTATGTACTGACAACTTACGTGAGAGGTCTTTGCGTGGCGATGATGTAATCCGGTCTTCCATTTTTGTAGACAAGACGAGCGTTTGCCTGTACCCAGGCCCATCGATTTTCTTTGGTTAGAAGCCTAAATACAGTCATTCCACTCTCACCTGTCTTCATCACTAGAGTTAAAGAGTGAGCATATTGTTTACCGTCCAGTGAACAAGAACAGGCATATCCAGCATGTCATGAAAATAATCCCATTTGTACGGCAATTTTACAAATCTCATGTCCTCAATCACTCATTTCTGTGTGGCACTAAAGTATTCCCAGTGAAACAGGGTGATCAGAGATCAATTTCTGTTAAAAATCTTACAAAAGATTTATCAAAAGATTTTTATCAAAAGGAAATTCTTCATTTAACTTCCTAACAGGAAAGCTATCTTTGAAACAGTCCCTTTGCCCAAAGGAAGTTATAGAAATAGCAGAAGTTGGTTTGAGCAGAGAAGGAAGTGAGAAGAGCAAGATGGGACAGAAACTAGAATATATAACCTAAAAGGGTCTAGATAGGAATATTAAATATTTCTTCATCCAGTATAACTTTTTATAGGGAAGGAAAAATCAGATGAAATGAATAGCATTTTGTTAACTACCACTTTTTTTTTTTTTTTTAGGAGTACTTCACAGCATTTTTTCAGTATGAATGTAATCCATGCTTTGATTTTTCAGTCTTTATTAGGAAATAAAGCTTACTTCGGACATGATTTTCAGCACAATAAAGCATATCAGCTGCATGAATAAACTGGTATCCTGTTCCTCTCATACACAGCTCTGCTTCGGTGTATCCCAGGACAATCTTTCCTCTGGAAAGTAAAAACAAAAAATTGCAACACCACTGATCAACCAACTCACAGAACAAACGCCAAGCAACTTAATTATGGCTAGAACATTTCAGACGTAAATGCTAACTACGCTTTGTTGCAATATCAACTGTATGTGGAAGCATAACAGTCCTAATAAAAAAATACAGTCAACAAATCCTAAAATTTTTACTAGTCCCCCAAGTTACCTTCAGTGACTAGTAACAGGTTCACAAAATTATTAGGCCATTAAAAAAAGGAGAGTGTGTCTAGAGCTTGGCTGGACTCTTAATTCCATACTTTTGGAAGAGAGAAAAGAGGCCAGAAGCTTTTCTTTTGACAAAGAGGCATCTTAATTGGGCTTCTTGCTATGTTGATGCATAGTTACGTTATGGTATCTAGTAATGGAATAGCGTTTCCAGTTCTTAGAGGGGGAAAAGAATGGTTTGGAAATGGGTAAAAGTCATGTTTTTGGAGTTAATAATATTTCTATTGTACTTTAAAACTATTTGAACTGAAGGAAAAATATGCATGTAAACCAAAAATGAAACACTTGTTCTATCAGTTCCAAAACCAAATTACATATAGATTTAAACATTAAACTCTTTTTCTTCCCTAATTCATTAGTATTCTGTCTTTTAGGGGATATTCTGTCTTTTGGGGAATTTGGGTTGGGGTTCTTTGTGGGGGGGTTTTTTGAGGGGGGGGAAGGCAGTGAGGGAGGGTGGTGGTGGTTGTTTTGCTTTATAAATGATTGAGAGTCAGAAAGCAATATGCTCTTTCAAGGAAGTGCACTATGACAATCCCATTTCAATTTTTCTCTTTCAGCAGGGCTGAAGACAAAATTCCCAACAGTTCCTAAACAATCATCAATATTGACTGAAACAGTAGGCAGCTTAATATTTCAAACACATATTTGACACCTGTCTCATCAGCAAATTATGAGAGTATTATGCAGAATAATATGCACCTACTTTGCATCACAGCCAGTAGGTGTGAAATCCAGTTTGTGTTTTGTTCTGAAGATGAAGTTTTTGGTTCGTATCTCGAGGATAGATGGTGGCTGCAGGGGAGTAGCTACTGCAAAGAGAGCGAGCTGAGGGGAGAGAGGAGCACCATCCTTCCCTTTCTTGTTTTGTCCGTGGAGAAACTTTAATCGTCCTTGAAAATTCATAGCCTTAGGATAAGGAAAAAAGTAAATGTTATACGTTGGAGATATTTAAGAGTAAGATATTTCTGTTATGATGTAAAAATATGTATTTTTTTAAGACCAATCAGATTCAGGCATTGTAACACAGCATGCACAGAAGTTAGCTAATAAGTACAAAATACAGTTCTTATATCCCTGAGCATATCACTTTGAGATATAGTAATAAACTCTCAGGAAAAAGAACTAATGGAATGGTTGTTTTGTTAAAAAAAAAAAAAAATCAAACCCAAACATGTAATAGCAAATGCCAACTGGATCTTCTCATAGTCTAATGAACGTGGCATTATACATGTATATACATATATACATTCTGTATACAATTAACATAAGATTATTTCTCTTGCATTTCTGTCAGTCATTAGTACAAAGTATGCAAATATGTACGACTGTAAAATCGTACATAATTCTATTTTTAAGAAGTCACCTAGAGGGTGATAAACTTGTATTTCCTTTTATAATCGACAATACTGACAAACAAACAAAAAATGTATTAAAAGAGCGAACACAGACTTTCCCAAGGAAAAGGAAAACTATGGTTCTGTTCATTACTATGCCTCGTGCATCTCAAGACAACCAACAGAAAATAATCTTTGTAACACTTCTATCATCTGCAAATCACACAGCACTTTACAAAGGCAGATGCTTATTCACATTTCACTGAGGAAACTGAGCCACGAGAAATGAGAGAACTTGCACCTGGTTGTAACAACATGTTGAAGGGGGCACATTCAGTGTCAGCAACTGAAACATACTGGTTCAAGCAGCTCTGACATCTATGGAGACTTATCAAATAAAGTAAGATGCTGTACATATTGTAAGGATAATGTAGATTTCCAGTTTACAAGCGTCCATGGAAGTTTTTACATAACTCCATACTCACCAGGAACCCAGATGAATTATCCAGGAGGCATCGTAACCTGCAGATGAAATTCCTTTCCATAAAGGAAGAGTTCTCCGGAGGAAGTTGGTCTGGGTTATAATAGGTTGCTGGCTGTGAAAAGCCATTATCTCCTACAGGAAAGGATTATTTATAAGGATTATTTTTAGAAGAACACCTAGCAAAGGCTATCTATAACAAATCATCTTCCGTCTCATAAACAAAGGGTTAGGTCATGACCTGAGCAACAACAATGTAAACTGGAAATATCCTCAGAACCTAATACTGATTATAATCCTAGGTGAGGTATCACTACTTCTGATGTGAGAACCTTTACAAGCTATGGTATTTAAAAACTGCAATTTCTATTTTTTTTAAGTGGTGGGGGTTTTGTTGTTTTGGTTTGAGGTTTTTTTTTTTTTGTTTGTGGTTGTTGTGTTTTGGGTTTTTTTTAATTTATTCATTATGTTTGTCAACAATCCAGATTCTGACTCAGCTGTAGAGAGCAGAGTGCTCAGCTGAGAGCACCCCCACATTTCTGCAAAATTGGCAGGATCTGCAAAAGGCACAGTAACTGAGTCAGTCAAAAACTCAGTAGATGGTATCAAATCATGAAACTGTTACTTTCCAGATAGCCAGGTGAAAGCTGTAGCAATAAATAAAAAGAAGGGAACCACCACAATAAATCAATGTGAGTATTTCTCTAATGGAGGCAAAAAACCCCTACTAAATAGTGAAAATATTTCTGGGCTGTGCTGATCAAAAAACCACCATATTTGCTTCTCCAGAGGAACCTGCAGCACTTGGGATTTTTAAAAAAAAGACCCAAAACCATGATTGACAACTAGGATAACAACCTGATGTTCTTCTGCAACTTCAGGACAAGTATTTGCTGCTAAGTGGCATTTAGAAAACAGACTTAAACATTTGGAATATAAAGTAAAAACAGAAGGTAAATCTATAAACTTCTGATAGAATACATATGTTCTGCATGAGACTACATAGAAAGAGATACCAGAGCATGGCTACTCAGAGAAAATTTAGCAAAGTGATCTTGTTTGTAATACATTCAAAAAAATTTACAAACTGGTCATTCCCAAGAATTCATACACACAGAAAATTAGGAAAAAGCAATGTAAAATGCTATTCAAAGTGTTAAATACTCTGTAATTTAAGAAGTAGTCCATACACTCCGAGAGAACTGACCAAAAGCCAGTTCAGTTTAATCTATTAATTCAAGGGACTAGAGTCAAATAAGACTGCTGACGGCTCAACCAAGAGGCCTTGCAACATAAGGCCATAGAAATCCAACAAGAATTCTGAGTAATCCAGCTTTTCAGACAAAAACAGGAGATACCTTTTTTCTTAAAACATATCTATATGATATATCTAAATACCTACTTAATGCTAGCTGAATGTATAAAAAAGGAAATGGATTAAATTAGCAGAAATGGAGAGGATCCTTATGACCACAGCTTTATCCTTATAAATCTCCATTCAGTTTAAAAATGCTCAGCCTCTAAACATTTTACACTACTTGAGGCCCAAAAATAATTAGCAGCTTTTAGTAAGCTAGGAACACAAGATCTAAACCAAACGACTTTCTGTAATCCTGCTCAGCACTTCCCGTCATTCAGTCAAATCTGATGCCAAGTCAACCTGGCATCGTACTTTTCAAACACAACCTTATGTAAATTCATATGCACTTGCTTAAGTGCTATAGAACAGCATTTCACTCTAAAGCAAACAGTAAGCCACCACATAAAAACCTGATTTCTGAGCGCCAGCAGCTGTTTGCTAAACCAAATTGAAACATTAACTAGTTCTGTAGCATGTTTTCAGCTGGATTGTGCAGATTGATCCATAGATGATATAACAATGTTGACCATTAAATGAAAAACTGAAATATCCTGAGCTGTGAGCCAAACAAGTAAATAATATTTGTTGTTTCTTTATTTCTCTAACAAATTATGGCATTTTCCCTACCATAAAATATCAAATGGGAAACTGTTAGAGTTTTAAATCAAGCTGCTTTATGAATGAGAGATTTATTTAAAAAATAATATGGACTTTTTATGGATTAAAAAAAATTTATCTATAACCAAGTAACTTAGAGTAACATACAGCTTTACCTACATATTTTAACAACTGTTATGCAAAATGGAGCATTACAGCTGTCACCATTATCACGCAGGCATACGCTTCCCATATTACTCGTAATTATCTGTACCAACACACCCCTGGACCGATGCGTAAGCACCATGTTTCTCAATATAGCAGGTCCCTTAGGCATCAGGAGGTAACACGTGACAATCTGATGCTCTAACAAGCACACTATTGGTCGTCTTAAAGGATCATCTATTTAATCTTTTATTCCTCTTCCTTTTTCACTCCCAAGAGAAGTACTACTCTGTGCGGCAGTCTGCGTGTAACAGTGACAGATGTGGAAGAGTAAAATTCTTCCACGACAGGGAAGAATATATGGAATAATTCCATATATTAACACTGTAAGGAGCTCATTCTTAGTCATGGAATGGATCTACCAGCCTGAAGAGCTTAAAGAAGCTGTCATTCCCAACTGTCTGCTGCCCTTCCTAAGCTAATACATCTGGGGGCGTGATCTGTAACCAGGAGTAGCAGATGTAAAAGAGAGATCATTACTTCAGAGAAATCACTTCCTCATTCAAACAGCGATTAAAGACAAGCTGTATAATTGAGAGCAACCACCAAAAAAAAAATTTAAAAAAAAAATAATCAAACTTCCTTGTTTCTTATGTCACCAAAAGAAACGGTCCACTTCTGACTGCCCTGTTTGCAACACACCAGTGCAGGGGGATTACCTGCTTTGCTATTTACCACAGGACTACTGATTATCAACACGTGGGAGACATTCAGACACGTACGCTCCAAATTAAAGTCTACCAATTTAAAGCAAAATTAGTATTTTAATGGTGCTGTGATACGAATAGCAGTGCTTATTTAACGTGCAAAAAAACAGTAATTCCCACTGTTGGTTAAACATATCAGTAAAACTCAAGTAAGTTTAAAAGCTGCTATTTCTTCCTTTGTTCATGCAAAAGAATCTAAACTTTTTTACATACAGAAATTAAAAAAAAAGAACTAATCAGATAGGCAAACACATCAGTTGGCTGCACTCTCACCTTGCACACCTGGTCCAGAATCTGCAGGCTGGGCAGGATTTAATGCCCAGTGTAGCTGTCGTTGAAACTCAGGTCTGTCTTCTGTGTGAATCAGTTCAAACACACTCTGGTGGATAATATCAGACTACGTACAAAAAGGAAAAAGGTGGGAAATAACTAATCAGACAGGCAAACACGTCAGTTGGCTGCACTCTCACCTTGCACGCCTGGTCCGGAATCTGCAGGCTGGGCAGGATTTAATGCCCAGTGTAGCTGTCGTTGAAACTCAGGTCTGTCTTCTGTGTGAATCAGTTCTTAATGGTGCTGTGCTACGAATATTTAAAGTGCAAAAAAACAGTAATTGCCACTGTTGGTTAAACATATCAATAAAACTCAAGTAAGTTTAAAAGTTGTTATTTCTTCCTTTATTCATGCAAAATAATCTAAACTTTTTTACATACAGAAATTAAAAAAAAAATAACTAATCAGACAGGCAAACACGTCAGTTGGCTGCACTCTCACCTTGCACGCCTGGTCCGGAATCTGCAGGCTGGGCAGGATTTAATGCCCAGTGTAGCTGTCGTTGAAACTCAGGTCTGTCTTCTGTGTGAATCAGTTCAAACACACTCTGGTGGATAATATCAGACTACGTACAAAAAGGAAAAAGGTGGGAATAAGAAACTTATATATCAATATGATACAAGTTGTCTGGTTGAGAACACTGGATGTTGTATGGATACAGCAAAAGCAAGCCCAAGAAAGTTATCCACATGTGATCTGCACTATAAATTGTAAATAAAAAAATACTTGTTTTGAAATAAAGGAAGTATGAGTGAAAGAACACTAAAATTCTAAAAATACTAAAATCGCTGTTGATGCTTAGAATTCTAAGGCATATGGAGTTAATTTTGTATGAAAGGTTTCTATTAAAATAATTACCTTCCCATTGAATTACGCCTCACTCAGCATCATAAACTGGGTAACACCACAGTATAAATTTCAAACAGTTGTTCCAGTAAAGACTAATTAAGTGTGAAAATTTCCTATCTTGCCTAACTCAGCTTTGGAAATTATATTCCTGTTGTGCTTGGCCTGAGGTCCCATTTCAGCTATGTAAGCTGATAGAAAAGTATTATGGTTTCAAAGTAATCCAACCCAAAGTACCTAACTGAGATTTTTATTACACAAACGAGCAGACCCTAAATAAGAACAGCGATGCCCTCTGAAATAAAGGAAAAACTCATCAAAAATTAGAGGAAAAAAATAAACTTACTTGTTGGAATCCCAAGTAGTCTTGAATAGTAGAAGAGACGTAAAAAACCAGAGCATCGGCCGTAACAACTAATACAAAACCATTTAATGCCTGGGGAGGAAACACACCAATCTGTCAGCTTGAGGGACAAAATTCCGGGTAATTATTGTGGCTGTAAGTCTACCTATAGCCTACTCTCCCAATGAAATGTGAAGCATGCAAAAACATATCATTATCTAACAGCAGAAACAGAAGGGTTCTTCATTGCCTCTCTAGAGTATACGTGGCACAATGAAGAAAACTGCATCTAATGAAAAAAAAAAAAGTTATTTTGGAAAATTCAGGGGAGAAATCAAACCCTGTTGATGACTTTTAATTACTGGAGGAGATGAGGGACATCAGTATGAACAACGAAGCAAGTTTATCTAATATCAACCATGGCTCACAACGCTATGCACAAACGGGAGCCGCGTCACAAGCCCATTCCCCAAATCTGCTCTATTCATAGCACAGACAGGCCTAAGTGGACAGGAAATCAAGCCATCAAGATCCCCTATATGGTCCAAGAAAACATTTTATGGCTTACTTAAAATAGAAGACCTCTGCACAAGCGGGCTGTTGCAAGTAAACAATGTTTTTGAAGAGATTTCCCCCTTCGCGAAGCAGCAGACTAAGCGGCTCCTCACTCAAAGTCACGCAAAGGGCATTTATCTGAACTCCCAATCAATACGGTTCATGGCAATTGTTGTGATAGCAAACAGTACATTTGTGACTTGGCAGCTCATCTGAAAGGTGCTGATTTACTTCTATGGATTTCAGTCAAGATTTAACAAAAGGCTGTCTCGAGGGACCGGATTAAGTATATTGTGCCACTTAATTTCCTCAGCTGCATTCAAAGTCAAACTTGGCCAGCACACTCAAAAAACATTTTTAAAAACTCTTTATTATGCGAAGTTATTGTAACATAGAAAATATAAAGTAAGTGAAGGAATCCTATATCTTACTGTAACAACATAATAATGTATTTTTACTATAAGCAAGCATTATTCTTCCATAAACATGAACTCCCACGGCCCCACACTACCGTAACCACCATAGCTGCTTTTCCATATTTTGCAGAGATAGGGTTTTATTATTTCTTTTCTTTTACTAATACAGTCTAATTAAGTCAAGTTAAATATCCAGTTCAATGGCTGGTTTTTAAATGTTGTGAACCACTCCTACTTAATGTGGAGACATTTCTTAATCTCTTCTCATAAACAGCTGAGAGCTCATAAAAACTCCTTATATAAGTTTCGTGAACTTTACCTGAATACAGTACAAGCTAAAAAAAATTAAATTAATTATAACGTGAAACTAGATAGCATAGACAACCTGAGAAATCTTAAGTAGTTACACAGAATCCTTGGGTTTGATCAAGTTCACAGTAATGCCAAGGGAGCAGAATGCCGCAATGGCAGGTTCTGATGTCCTCTGCTGACCTACTCTGCAGGGCATCTCACCTTAAGTGGCTGATATAAAAAGCCTGCAAACTGCATAGAACCTAATTCTGGCCCACGTGTTAAAATTGGTTATTCTGCTCTGTTTCATACAAAGCTACAGCTCTTGTACCCGGAATTCAATCGCATTTTACAGCGGCTCTGGTACACAGTCCATCTTGAAACAGGATTGTTACTGCAGAAATCAGATGCTTTCTGTGAGCCAATTATTCTGTAAAATGCAAGTTTTTTGCCCAAAAATCTAATGCAGCAAATTACTGGAATTTCCTTAAAACATGCAGGTACCCAGGATATACCAATAAATTGGAGATCAGTTCTGATGGAGGTTTTGGCAAAATGCAATCCTAAAATAATTATCTTTAAAGGATTTATGAAATTTCTTTGTGAGTTTATTCTTCTGGAGCATTGGAAACAATGTGATTCTAAAAAAAAAAAATACTCTCGATATTCCAAATACAAGGGCAATTACAAAACTGTTCATTACTGGTGAGAATTAAAAAGATGTCTCAAAAATTTCTTAGAGGTTGTCATTTGACTTGCACTTCTTATGATAAACTTGCTTAGACTGTAATAGATTATGTATCTAAAATAAGAGTTTGATATAATTTAAATAAATTTGAAGATGTAGCTTAATTTTAATGAAAGCACATCTATGTATTTGATATTTACTTCCACGATATATTGAATTGGTAAGACAGTTTCTATATTGGAAATTAAAGACAATTTTCTGTTTGTTAGGAAACAAGAAAAAACATCTGATGAACAGAATTGTAGACAATTAGTCACCAAATTTACAGTCGATGACTAACCTAACTAACCTTTAGGAGAATTGTTTCTATAGATTAATATCTTTCCTAACAATAGATGCAAAAAGATGGGGAAAAAACAGCTCTAAGAAATGACTCAGAGTAAAGAGGACCCTGGAGTTTAATTTCTCTTTTTGGTGGAAGAGCTATATAATATTAACCTAAAGAAAATAAGGAAAGAATTTGACAGTAGGAAAACCTCCCGTTTCAATCTCATCAGTGAATAACTGGTATATTGAATATGATATTTTTTTTTAAAATGTAAATCTTTGTATAATACATCCACTGCAACACATACCTGCAGTAAGAGTTCACCTTCCAGGATCTGCATCCCTTCTCCACATTTTGCTGTTCTACAGTTTTCCTGAATGCCATTTCTTTCTGGTCTTGTAGAGTTGGAAGATTTTAATGCAACTAGAAAAAAAAAGAAAAAAGTTGAGAGAATTTTGAAAGGCTCACTAGACATTTATCTGCTGATGTGCTATTTTGTATAAGAAAAAAAGATTATATTTTTAGAAGACTTATAAAGTCAATCTAATGAAAGATTTCCGTTTCATTGTCAGACTTTTTCCTTACCTTTAGGGATACCCCCAAATTTGTCATCCATCTCCTTTCTAAATTATAATAGTTTCATGACAGAGTCAGTATTATTGAAATCAATGCAAACCTCATTATTTTATTCCCTTTTTTCCCCCCTGCTTTTTACTATAAGGCTCTCTTTGAGTTTGTCACTCTTGTTAATAAAGGACATTTTTGTTTTTCTGTAACAACCTCCTACATGATAAAAACTCTGCCTTACGGTATGACAACACTTACACTTATTCTTATCACATCTAATTTCAGACATCAAACTATGCTAATCTCAGATATAAACATGCTCTAGACCTAAAAGAGGGAAAGACACAGGAACCCTAAATGCATATTACACAATAAAGAAAAGTAAAGAAAGGTATTGCAAACAAAAAGGTTTTTTATTTCCCCTGCCATAGCTAAATTTTAACCATTTAAACAATTAAGCATACTTTCCAATTTCAGGTAAAATACTATAACCAGGAACGACCATTATTGACAAATAAATCCAATTGAAAGAAAAAAAAATTACTCGGTGAATACAGGATGAAGAATCAGACCAAATTGCTACAAAGTACCTGAAAAACATACTATCTTCCATCTCTGCACTGTGCCTTCTAATAAACAGGATGCTGTCACATAATACTAGATAAGACTGTCCATAACTCGGAATTTATCTACTTTCAACATAGCTCTAAAACCAAAAAAAAAGTCTCCAAACCTCAAATGAGTCTGAGTGGGTCCGTAGTGTCTAAACAGCTTAAAATTACTAGAGTGATTGTGCCTTAGAACCTTTACCATATAAACTAAACACCAACCCCCAAACCTCCTAAACCCAAATTTTCTAAACCGCAAAGCAAGAGAAATTTATAGAAGCAACTGCACTTCTGCAAAATAACAACAGTTTCTCTCATAACAATGAGATATTCACCCTAAATTCCAAATGATTTTTCTACCTGCTGAAAGCCTTCATTTTTCAGCTGCTCAGAACTTTAGTCAAGAATCCTAAAGAACTCCTGCTCGCTCACTTTTCAGCTATCTTAAATGATATTTTACACTAAGTATATTAACTGAAAGATAAATTATGCCTTTCAGGTTTTTTTAAGCCATCACTGCAGCTAACAACTTTCAAGCCAGACAGTTTTCATTAAAATATCCCTCAAAGGCACCGCAGAGGAAAAACACATTCTAAAAAGACATTAACTGATTAATCAGCCAGGAATTTATCTGAGTGTTTGCTTTGAAATGAAAACCTTAATGCTCTTCTTCCTACCAGATAACCAAAAAGTCCTCTAATAGGCCACACAGAGTTGCAATTGCAAATTCATTTTAAATTCAAGTGAGTGGAAGATGTAGCAATGTTTGGTGTTTTTTTTTTCCTTAAGCATTATTTTTAAAAGGATATCTAGAACATTCACTAAAAACCCCTCAAGTCCACTGAGAGTGGAAAAAAATTATTATCCTTTTAATTTATACTTTATGGTTATTGAGAAAGCCCATATTGGGCTTTGGAAGTTGCAAGTAACGATACCTAATCACACATGCCATTCTGAAAAATATCATATACAAATACACACAGATGGGTTGTTTTTTTTCTTTTATAATGTGCAAATGCTAAACGAGGGGGAGGAATTACAGGTGCTTGAGTAGTGAATGATGTTCTGCACTACATCTATCAATCACCAGAGCTCTGGAGCTCAGACAGCCCACGCGCTGGTAAGGCTATATGCCTCCTCACTTTCAAAGCTGTGCAATCAATACAGGTGAAAGTACATATTTTCCTAAATTGGAACGTACGCCTTTGCAGAAATCACAACGTGAATGAAATCAAGTTGCTGTAAACTGAGACGGAAAATTGCTGAGTTAAAAGCAAAAAGGAAGACACAGTGGAAATTACAGCTTTATGTGTTATGGGATGTGTACCACTCCTGGGAAGAAAAAAAAAAAAAAAAACCTAAAAAAAACCACAACAGAAATTTACCTTGTTCTGACAGATAAATCACAGGCTGCTAGTGCCTGCTTCAAGCCACCCAGTCTCTGGACCTTCACCCCCAAGACCCATCAGCAGGGTGAAGAGATGATGTTACAGGGGACTTCACATTCTGAGGCTTTGGAGAGTCATCACTAACTGACAGCTCTAACACACCCACATGCTTTTAAAGACTAAGTTGGAAAAAGGTTAACTGTTCCAGCCACAGAAAGGAAAATTTTTATCATCCCTCTTCTCAATTAATAAAGGGGCATCAAAACTGAAGTGCAGATGTTGCTTTGGTAGGTGTGGTTTTTCCTTGATTTCATAAAAGCTAAATTGCATTTATTAAGTAAAAGCCAAGTTTTGTTCAGATGGTCCTGAAAAGACCAATTTCACAAAAATCAAGTTGGCTAGAAGCACATAAAAATTGCTACAACAAAATTGGTTTGTTGTTAGGTGGAAGTGAGAAAAATATAAATAATACCGCAGGAAATAAAAAAACCACCAGGAAAGATGACCAAATATTTCTATTTAATACTTCTGAGAATAACATGGGAGATATTCACATTTCCCAATGACAGTCCTTTCAGCCCAACAGAGCTAAACAGAAGTGACTGAATATGGATACTTTAGATCAACAAGACTTGATAAATTTTATTCAAGATTTTAAAATCACTTGTTGAATTTCCTCCTGGGGAGACAAGACAATGGAATGGATGATACAGAACTCTGAATAAGAAATATTTAGACAAAGGTAGCATTAAAAAAAAATAAATCAGTATTCAAACTAAGTATAAACTTTTATTAAAGAAATTATAAATGTAACTCGTAAAGTTTACAATGTTAATGTAATTAAGCTATGGTAATTACCAGCCCTCTGTGATTAAATTTTTTTATCAATACTCTTCATGCAAACATTAAGAAAAAAAAAAAAAGCTGGTAAAATTTTAGGTTGACACAAATACACTGGGATTAACGAAGAGAGCCAACACAGGTCCCTGACACCAAGCGACCCTGGCTGCAAACTCTCAAGGTGTGGTTTAATACAGTCAAACTGGAGGTTACCAGATCCCAACAACAACTGGCCTGAGAGTATGGGAGGGACACCGTGTGAAGCAGTGATTCTGAAAAGAGTTAGTCACAGCACACAACGCTGTGGCCTCAGAAATACCAGCTAGAGACACAGCAACAAAGAATAAGGAAAACTAAACCTGAAGAGGGTAACTCATCCAAAGGTAATACTACAGTGAACATCGCCCAGCTGAAACTGAGCCACATCTTCTGCTACTTCTCATAGTCTATGGCACTCACGTAGTCAGTCGAAATAATCACAGTAGTTCACTGCTTTATAATCTTTGAATCACTGAATTAAGTACAACACATCAGCCTATCCCTTCTTAATTTTCTAACCACAGGAAATTAAAACATGAATACTCCTATAGAGTCAATAGAAAAAAAATCTCTTTATGTACTCTAAAAGACATGAAAGGCACAAATTATTTCTCAGAATTTCCCATGAATAACATTAAAGAAAAAAAAAAACAAACCTGATTATACCAGTAGGAAAAGAAAAAAAAAGAAAGATTTTCTGCTACGCAATTTTATCAAGAAGGCTAGATTGTAAGCACATGCTTTCCAAGTAGGTTAATGATTGTCACTTAATCCTATGTCCAGCAACAAGCATCATTTCCACTGATGGGAAGTCCAGACTTTCCTGATTTGAAGTAAAAGCTGGATCCCAAAGACCACAAAACTAGACAGTGACCTTTAATAGGTTTTTTTAAACACAGAACAACATTATAGTTTCTGGTACATTTGTTTGTTTCACAATTGTAAAACACTTCAGCACCCAAACTAGCAAATGAAAAAGATTACTTTTTACATCATATCTACAAAGAGAAACTAACTAACAATGTTAACATCAGTGTTTACCAGCTCCTTATCTCTGGTTCTGTTACATTCAGGTGGTGAGATATTTATACAAAGATGTAGTATACTTCATTAAATTAACAATATATCTGGGGAAAAAAAATAATCTGACATACAACTACTTCTTCAGGTCTGGAAAAGAATTCAAGCAACTGAGTTCTAAGTACTGCCAAAAGCCATCTTTCATTTTAAACACATGTAAGTGTTTTCAATGAAAAATTATTTTCAATACCTAAAGAGAGCAGGTATTAAGCAGTCTCCCTTCTTCCCAGGGAATAACATTCAGTATGAGAAAGTGCTTTGGGATATATCCCAACCTGCACGTGTTACAAGCAGCGTGCAAAATCAACTGATAATACATGACAGATGAATTTCATGAACTATTTGTTGATGATTTGTTGATATGATACTCAGGAATTACTCTTTGTTACGATGCAAAAAATCAGTGCAGTTTGCAGCTGCTGGAGTTGTAGGAATAACAACACATCAAGGTTGTTATTGGCTGTTATTGTTGTTGGCCTGTTAAAATGTATTCCCCTCAACATTAGACATATCACTTTTACGTTTCATGGAAGAAAACTCTCAAATTCTTCCTCTCTTCAAACCAGGTCCCTGAACCAGGACACACTTAACATCAACTGTGACTACTCAGTGTATCCAGCTGGAAACAAAACCTTCAAGTCCTTCTCCTGCTAGCTGTGAGCAGTGATCAAATTAACAGATTTTATGTAATGCAATAATCTTCACCCCTAACAACAGAAGCATAGCAAAGAATAGGAGGAAAATTGGTTGGTCTATCCACCAACTCATTTCATGTCCATGCTGTCCCTCCAAGAGAGGCCCTTGACCGAGGTGACAAAGGCCTCTCACCTTTCCAACCCTTGATCTCCAGGGTTTCTATTGGGTAGGTATGCTCCCCCCAGCTGCAACCCAAAACAACTGG